ATTCTAAATAAAAATGTAAACGAGAAATAGATCATTTTCTTGGCATCCTAAGGCAGTCAACTCTCTAGTGTCTCATTTTTCTGAAGAATTGTGTTCTCATACAGATGAAGCAAATTTGTTTACAGAAGGCTCTCTCTGGGAGAAATGACATCCTGTGCTTCCATGGACACAACACCCGAAGCATGGAGGACGCTGGCAGAGCCCAGTGCTAGGTAGGGTGGCCTGAACATACCATTTAAGGCTGGGGATTTATAGAGACCACCTTTCAAATTGCTCCATGATTTCAGAACTTACTTGGTGAAACTTGTAGTCTGGTCCCCGAACCAAAGATGAATTTGTTGGTATTGGAGGACACAGTGATACCAAGGTCTACAAAAACCCCTACCCCTCTGCTCTTTCTATTTCTGGTACCAAATGGCAACCAGGGGCAGAGATTTGGGGTACAGTAAAGCTCCAAATGCTAAGTTTCATCTCCTGAAAATGTCCATGGCTTGTGCTTATTATGTTTCTAATTAACAAACTAACCTCTTGAGATGGTTCACCCTGTGAGAGTACCACATCTCAAGCTCTATGCCCAGTGCTGAGTTTTTTTTGGCTTGGCTTAAATTATTTAACTCTTCTGCTCATCAATTTTTCTGCCTTGGGAACACGTTTGATGACAGGTGATCCTTTTGATTTATTAGAGCGAGTGGGAAGGTGAGAAGGGCTGCTGGTGCAGCGGGTTATGGCACTACCATGGGTTAATGCATTTTGAATAATGTGGGGGAAGATGGGATTGTTCAAGTCAGGGTACTATTAATCTGGATAACAGGGAGTACTTTGGCTGAAATGTGTTGTCAAAGCGACTAACACAAAAAACTTTCTTAGTGAGAAGTAAAGGAGAGTATGTCTTGTGTATCTTTCACAGTACAGTCGGTAGACACAACCACTTCATCTACCAGAAAAGAGACAGGCTTGGGAAAAGACCATAGACTTCTGAAGTCTAGTGATGGGAGAGAAGACACGACTGTCCTCACAGCAGTGATAAGCATAGATTAAGTACCTGGACAGGCTGTTCCCCTTGGCTGTTGGCAGCATTAAAAGGAACGGGTCTAAGTTATTTTAAAAAATGAACTTGACCTTTTTAGCAGTTAAACTTGACCTCTAATAGTTAAACTGGCTGTGTCTGCAGACCCAGAAATAGTATCCTACCAGAGAATAGCTGTAAGCTCATAGAACCAGAGAAAACGCACTTACATGGTTTAACAATCACTTTCGTGCCGCGTCCATACTGTAGCACACCCCCAAAGCTTGTTTGCCCACAGTGGCTGAGTCTATTACAAAAACCTCTTCAGAGCCACACGTAATCGAAGGTGGAAGCTAAAACTTCCTAGGTCTGAGAAGACTTGGACATATGTGTCACGAAAGAGGTGCTAATCCTTATTCCTGAGGCTCTTCTTCGTCCTCACCCCTCCCGTCTTCAAACAGGCACCTAGGAACCATGACACTGACTGCATGTCTGTAGGGGCTCTGCTGAAGGTCCACCAAAGAGGACTCTCCCAGGTCCCCCAGCCATCTGGGGATCACTCAGGGAGCCAAGAAACAGCTCAGAAACACAGCAGGCTAGCCGAAAGAGTCAGGCAATGGCTATGTGCTTGGGTTGTGGCTAGGCACGGTAGACAGAAATTCAAAGGAGAAAGAAAAGAGGGTCACACAGGCGTTCGAGATGAGGGACCGGGGTTGGAGTAGGGCAGTGTGGGAAGAGGAGAGGAGACACACTGAGAGCTGATGCCCGACTCGCCATTCTTTGTGTGTGAGTACATGTGATTTCCAGGAGAGACGGCTCCTGGCTGTCAGTTGCCCTCACCTATTTAGATTTTTTCCCTCCTAGGCAGGTTCTCAGTGCTGCCGAGAAACCCACGCCACACACGCTGACCGCCTCTGGTCTTGCTCCTCCCTTACCAAGCGGTCTGACCAAGTGTTCTACATGAGTGGCTTGGAACTGCAGCCACAAAAAGACACTCAGAATCTGTTTCTCTCTTCCTAATTAGGCTGTCAATCTGTTTAGCTAATAAGTCGCATAAAGTGCTCTAATCTCCTCCGTGGAAAAGAGTCATATAAATGCAAAAGAGCGGCAGCCGCAAGTCGCGTGGCTTGCCGCACGCCTTCTCTTTGTGTGAAGAGATGCCGTTTGGAAGGGAACCTTTCTGCGAGGGGAGGCCGAGTGGGAAAAGCAAAGCAGCATTTGTTTTTATTAGGCCCAGTCTATACGGCACAAAGTAAAACAGATTCGGCAATTATTAGGTAATGCGACAGTCGATTCTGGCAATGTGAGCCCAGAGAGGTTTGCTGAGAGGGGTGCCTAACTATTAGGATCAGCTACTGGCATGAATCAAATTAACTGGACGTTGGTGGTGTGTGGACATGAACTGATAAATGTACCCTGATTTGGTTCTTATAAGCGGCTTCTATTTTATAAACTTAACGTTAAAGCTGGCTAGATATTTGCACCAGTTCCCCTCACTTCCGCACTGCTGTTGACGTTTCCCACTTATTCTTAGAATACCGATCTTACATTAGGACTGCAGAGGTAAGAGTGACCTTCTCCCCAGAGAGTCTTATCAGGTGAGCACATGGAATCTCATTTAGAAGCTCATTAGTCGTTCGGGCTGTGAGAGCCCATTACAGATGAAGGGCTTTTTCTCAAGTGGTAAAGGGCTTATGAGGAATAATGGTTAGTCTTGTTCCAGTCCCAAAGACGAGGCTGTTTGTCCAGATGTTGGCGGGGTATTTCTGCCCAGTTTAAAAAGCACCTTCTTACTCCACTAAATGTGCTCCATTACCCTCTACATGCTCGCCAGGGACGAGCTATACACATTAGGATCCCTACTTAGTCAAAACCACTCTGTTAAAAACATGTTGTAGCCGGGCGGTGGTGGCGCACGCCTTTAATCCCAGCACTCGGGAGGCAGAGCCAGGCGGATCTCTGTGAGTTCGAGGCCAGCCTGGGCTACCAAGTGAGTTCCAGGAAAGGCGCAAAGCTACACAGAGAAACCCTGTCTCGAAAAACCAAAAACAAAACAACAAAAAAAAAAAAACATGTTGTATTATGTTCTTTTAACAAAAAGCCCAACCACAAAAAGCCCCCTAGTTTTTCAATGGAAAGCTGGCCAATTTTCACACTATTTCTCCTTGTAGGACAGGCAATGCGTGAAGAATTTTGGAGGCTATGGTGGTGGTTTTTACTTTAGAATACTGTTATGATAAACAAAACAAAAACAACCCTTTCTTTCCTGTGAATCAATTAGACTTACATTCCTTCTACCTTAGCTAGAAATATCAGAGCCAGCTCACTGCAAATCTTGCCTCCCTTGGTCACAAGCAGAAACCAAACAGGCAGAGAAGATCTTGCTGGCTACTTGACGAGAATTATACTTCATAAAAGGAAAGTAAGACCCAAAACTAAGAGTTTTCAGTTAGAAGTAGGAAAGATGAGGACTAATCAACAATGAACCTAAGCGACAGTGCGGCTCACATGGGACCGTTCAGACCCACCTGGTTGCACTTGTAATGTTGTCCCTAGCCCAAAGACGAGTTTCCAGTTGTTACTGGTTGCACTCCAATGCTGTGCTTTACAAAAACTGCCAAGGGGGTTCATTTTTTATCTTTCCTTCCTTTTCTCCAGCAGTCTAAGCTAGGCCCAGTGAAAAGCTACTTAACAGGGTACTCACTGTATGCTTGGCATTGTGAGGACACCTTGACACTGTGCGCTGTTAGCCCCTTGGAAAGCTGGTTCCCACCCCCATCCCCACTTGACAATTGGAGAAAATGGGGTATGAAGAGAATGACAGCCTGGTTACACACAGCGAAAGGGGAAGTGGGCCCCCAGGTGCTCTTGAACATCCCCAGAGAGAGAACAGCTTCTCAGGAAAGGCCAGAGCTAGAGCAAAATCAGCTTCTTTTACGTTACGTCTAGCAAGTCACAGTAAGGCTCCAAGCCACAGAGAATACAGGAACGTAAGGTCTAGAGGGGACCTTTGATGGGGAAGTTTTCCCAGAATGGTCATTGACTTGGAGATGACCCCAAGTCCTGAGAATTCCCAGAAGCACTCGGCTGGTGAGAAACAGTATTTATCAGCAGCCCATGTGGAGGGAGGTAGAGGATGCATGTTCTAACTTTCTCCAATGTCCAGTGCTCCCTGGCAGCCCTTCTGAGGTGAGGCAGCCTAGCTTCCCTGTTTTAAAAAAAAAAGTGTCTCCTGCTCCAACTGCCTTCCTACCATAGCCTTCTTGATGCATTGATCTAGTTATTTTGATCAAGCAATCAGCAAGAACCCAGCTTCAGCGGGCAGGAGAGAAACACCAGCTGTAAGTGGACATTTTGAACATTAGGAGCGGAAGAAGAAGGCAATTCTGGGATTTTTCAAACTGTACAACAGCTAACATGAAGACTCACTTGGATTGACTGCCAGGCTTGTTCCCAAACCCCAAATCAGCTTACGGTTGTCACCAACATTACACGGTTATGGAGAGCTTTACAGAAATGGAGCAGCCAATGAGGACCCGGAAATCCCTTTCAATCTCCATATCCGGATGGCATGCTCCCCTAGCTGGGATCCCGGCCAAGGAGGCAGTGGGGGAAGACAGTTTATTATTGTGGTTAGTTCAGGGTACGAGCAGGGTGGAAAATCAGCTGAGATTAAACAGTGTCCTTCCACCGCCAGGCCCAGCTGCTCTGTGGCCAGGCCCGCAGGGAGCCCAGGACTCCCTGACTCCAGGGCTCCTCTTCCCTGTGTGGAATAGTCTTTAGGTTCCAAATGGTTAAGACGAAAAGGACAAGGAATGTAATTTCTCCAGTGCGCTTGTTCCCACACCACACAACTACACACGTGCCCATCGCCACACACACCTATGCCGCATTTGTACCCCACCATCTCTAGATTAATAGAAAAGTAAAACCGAGTGCTATGGCTGCTTTCTGAAATTAGAGCGCTCCTTATTGATTCAGCAGAGATACTCACGGGGTTTGACCATTAACCTTGTTCCCCCTCCAAAGGTGAGCTTGGTGCCTGCATTATTATTCACACAGTGATCTTCAGCTCAGCAAAAACCTCCTAGAAACTGAGCTAAGTTCTCCCTAAAGATCTGCTGGAAGGAGAGATGCTGTGAGCATAGAGAATATTAATAATCGTCACCGTAATAAGCTGGTACAGAATCCTAGCACCAGCTTGGATTTCAGGTCTGTTTCCTCATTGGATGAGTGAAGGGTGTTCTTTCCAAATATTCTAAAGAAGGCATTTTCACACACAAGCCCAGAACACCGACTGCCAAAATTCCAGCACATCTTCAGTATTTTAGATAACAATTCTCCAGGGTTCTGGAAATCACATACTTTATTTGGATGAAATACGAACAGTTTATGTTCATGGTACCTAAGACTGTCACCACAGTGAGAGGGCCGTGAAGGAAACTGTCACTGCCTCCCTGGCAAGAGAGGTCAGAGTGTTGATCCATATTCTAAGGGTAGGGCCAGGCTCTTGGGACCACAGTCTACACCCAGCTTTTGGTACATCTAGGAGGATGGCTTGCCTCTTCAGCACCCAGAAGGAGGGACAGTCATACACACTTGTCTGCCTCGGAGTTCACCCTGATCCCAGATAGTCTTGATCCTCTGCTGAGATGGTCGTCAGAAAAAGGACTTTTCACTTCCTGTGATCCTTGTCCTAGGGAAGACTCCTCCGTTCCTATCATCCCTTCCCAGGAGCTAGCAGCACAGCTGGGCATCGAGCCTGAAATCATTCCCTATGATTAAGAAAGTCATTTCTCCCATTCTCTCTAAGTGCCCTCTGCCATGGAGAGAGGAAGAGTAAGTCCTCTTTCCATTTTGACACAATTTGAAGGAGAATCTGAATCAGAAGCTCCGAGGTACACTGCTCATTGCCAAACATGGTCTCCTCTACCTTCCGATTATGTGCTGCTTTGAGGATTAGGTGCCTAACTACTGATGATTAGAAATGAGGCTTCTCTCTCTCTCTCTCTCTCTCTCTCTCTCTCTCTCTCTCTCTCTCTCTCTCTCTCTCTCTGAAACATAGAAGCATATAGGTAATGCAGCAACTCACAAATTTCTGTCTTGAATTTAGCCAAAGACCATCAACCACAAACTCCTCTTTTCCTCCTCACACTCACTACGGAAGCTGGCATCTTTATTCCTCCTATTCATTCATCTACTGGATCCCTTACTCTGACCTTCTTAATATTTAAACAGGGTTTACAGTTTTTCATGTCTCTTTGTGAAATTGGGTCTGGTGACAACTGTGCTGAATTCGCAGGCTATGTGACAGGAAACTCAAGTGTTTACAAACCTGTACAAGTCTGACTGGGTATTAGGCCAGGAGGTTGGCTGTATGGACGAAGGGCACAGGTGTGGGCGCATGCAACTGTTCAGGGGGAAACAGTTTGCCTGGGGCAGAGAGTTTACCAAGGGGAAATATCTGTCAATCAAAGTAAAGCTCAAGAAATGCCCAGGTTTCAGAGGGGGTGACAGGCTGGGCAAGGGATATGATCAAACCCTGAGACAATACTATGAGTGTCCAGACAAAGCACCAGGTTAGACAGAGAAGAGCGATGTAACTCCGGAGGGACAGGAAAGGCAAGTGAAAAAAATGTGACTGAGAATAGCATTAAAAAAGAAGAGAATGAAGAACATAGGATTGCTATTCTAGAAGTCTCTTGAGGCCTCAGACATTTCTTTCTGTTTGTTATATTTTATGACAAAGTCTTAGTCATGTAGTCCTGGCTGGCCTTGAACCTGTGACCCTCCTGCACCTGCCTCCCAAGGGCTAGGGTTACAGATCTGTACCAACTAGCCTGGCTTCATAAACATTCTTCTACTGAATGATAAGAAGTCCATCATAGTGACTTCCCAGAGCTCTTTTAACCCTTTCTGTTCAGAGTTGAGGGACCCAGAGCCTCTTCAGATAGCAGCAATTTTAGCCTCTGTCATCGTTTGTAATGAACATTTATTCGGCATACCCTGTCCCTTGCATGTGAACATCAACAATTTTAAAATCAAGTCTTCATTGCCTGTACTTACTTGTTAGAACCTTCAGTCTGGTACCTGCTCCAAAGACATATTTGTAGCCTCCTGTGTTAGCCACAGTGTTCTGTGTCTCTACATAAACCAAGGCAAGACTGCCACTGTTAAAAACTGATATCCAGCACTAGAGCATGATAGGCACTTTCTTCACTAAGAGGAGTCAATGTCATGTTTTCTCAAAAGGAATTTAGTTGGCATTATATCTCTCTCTATATAGAAAGCCCTTGTTCTTCCCGTTGGGTTTGAGTTTGCAAAAATTTCTCCAATTTCATGCTATTATCCTGTGTGTTCATTAAGTAAGTAAAGAGGCTGATTTAGCAAATGTCCTAGAACTCAAACATCTAAGCAATTTCCTGAACTCTGCAAAAGATTCTCCTTAGGATTCTCTCTGAGAATGAGCCAACAAACAAACCAATGACATTATTTTATAGATATATTTCATTTTAGATCCCGACAGTACTGGCAATTAGCTGGAGTCCCTTCTTGATTGGTGTCTTTTTCCCAAAGCTTTTTGATGATTAACAATAGTGAAATCTACTTTCCAAGGGTGAAACCGTCATGGGTTGCCACAGGAAGAGAAGGCTGTGTTCTCTGAGGGCCATTTCAGGACAGGAAACGACCAGGGCCAGAGCATGGGAAAGTGCCACTCTAAGCTGGGTGCTTTGGCCACTCACCAAAATGCACCAATGCCGTCAACACAGAATCCTATCACAGGGCTGTTTCACACACTGAAGGTAATGGATGAAATAGTACAAAAGCGTGAGGTGGCAGCCACTTCTGTTAAAAAGTGTGTCTGCATGGAAGGTACTTACTTCTGTAATTCTAACATAAATAAAACAAAGCAACCTGAAATGATTAATGGAAATCCTACCAACCCCAGAAGGATGCGTAGCCTGTAAATCTTCCATATTGCTTCCATTTACCTATCTCTGTAAAAGCTCTCCCTGACAACTCACAGCTCACAAGTCTACTGCTTCATCGCAGGTAACCCTGTAGAGGTGGGAAGCCATCTAAGCTGCCGGGGTCCTCAGTCCCGCTCACAGGGTTCACTTAGCCAACGACATACCCCAGGGAAATTGTCCTAGGATGAAGAGGAGTGCTGTCCAAAGAAAAACAAGCCCACTGATGTGACAAAGCTAGGGTGGTCCTCTGTCTAGAGAAAGTTCCATGGTCTGGCCACTTGCTCAGAATGAGAAAGCCAGGAACTGAAGCTCTCGTCTGTGGTCCCCTCCTCCCGATCCTCAGCCCACTTGCCTTATTTTTTGGTTCTGCTTAGACGACATGGCATAAACCTGATCGGGCCCTCACCACTTATCTGCTGAGGACACGCTTCCTTGACTAGGCACTGCTGCTTCAGAGGAGTCCCTTTTTTGTTCGTTTGTTTCTATCTCTATCGCAAAGCTTTTCTTCTTATCTCTGCCTTTTCCCCAAAGCCATAACGTGCTTTGTGGACCTTCGAGAGAAACACTGATTGCAGTATTAGTATAATTCATCAAACTGCCCATAGACCTGATAACCAAATCCAGCCTCCAGGGAGACATGTATTCATATCTTGCTCACACATCCGACATAGTTAACAACTGCATGCTAAACGAAGCAATTAAATTTAGCTGTGTTTCAACAGGCCCCAGTGGATTTCTTTCCAGCAAGGATAATTAGTTAGCCACAAGAACTTACCGGGTGTGACCAACAGTGAGGTGCCTTTGCCAACATGGACCTAGTGTTTGAGACCCTCAACACATTCTCTTGAAATGACCCCCCCCCCCCAATCAGTTCTCCTCCCATGGTTCCTTACGGGAAGCTAATGTCTAAAAGCCAATCGCCCAGAGTCACAGATTGTGGCTCATTTAGGAAACTCTTCCATGAGACCATCAATGAAACTGTCGCTGTGCCCTACAATGAGATGGACCCTTACTCCTGAGAAGTACCATCCTGGAAAGGGGGGCTTGCTGAAGTCATGAAGCCCAGTGTTGGCTTACATCCAGCACAGGGGAGTACCAGTCTGAGCTGAGAACCACCCGGGAGTTGAAAAAAGCAATTCTGTAGAGTTTGTGGATGAAATAAGATGGGGGGGGGGTACCACATCCCCTCTAAAGTGTGCTTCAGTTGCACAGTCTGGTGCAGTCTTGGGAATCTTTAACACTTACTTGATTCCACAGAGAGTTTGGTGCCTTTTCCAAAGGTTAGCTTTCCTCCTCCTACTCCAGAATTCACAGTCGTTTGGGGCCTTACAATAACCAGCAGGCAGACAGGACTGAAAGAGACCATCTTCCCCTCTAGTGGAAGGCTCAGTCCTTGCAGCCTTAGCTCCCAGGTTCTTGGCAAGCTGAGAGCATTCTCTGAAAACAACAGCTGGCTGTGAAGCTACCTCTGAGCTTGATCATAAACCACTAGTTTGTTGCCCCAACATTGAATTCTGATGGGCTGCTCGTGCTGAAGACGTACAAAGACAGTAGGAAGGTCAGGTAGAGGGGGCTAATCCAGGGGCCAGAGAGTGGCAACTTTCGGGCGGGTAGCACCATGCCTCCTTCACAGGCCAAGTCTTTACAGAGAATAACAGTAGCAAAAACCAACCAATAATCAACCAACTAACCAACAGATATGACTGCACTTCTCCAGTGTGGCAAATAACAACAATCTTACACGAAGGAATTCAGGGGCAGCTGCACCGGCCTCGGAAAGGGTGTGTGTGTGTGTGTGTGTGTGTGTGTGTGTGTGTGTGTGTCTTTGTATTGAGGAAAACCTGATTTTTGAATCGTTAGGTTTTAATTTTGTCTTACACGAACATACATGAATCACCCTCGCATTTCTGTACATCCTGGGCTAATGAAGAAAGAAGGCAGTGGCATTAATTACTTCTTGACCAAATCCTTGGAATGGGGGGAATTCACTAGAAGTTACACTGATCTTGGAGGTAGTGATGTGTCCCCACTGAAACTGTACAGAACAGCAAAGTCACCCACTCGTGTTGGCTTGGGGATGGGC